TAAAGGAGAACTCCTTTATCCTAAATCTCATGAAAGCCACTGAAGGAACAGAATGACATAGTATGAATGATGTGTTAAGCAGCATGGGAAAAGAGCTTCGTCTTGAAAACATTGACAGGACTGTTCTTCAGACAAGAGGAAAGGGAGATGCTTGCATGATGGTGCCTGGGAAGCATTTTTGCATAAGGAAAGTAGAGGTTCAAGGAGTTTGTGTTGCAGAGATCTGCTCTTCTCTGTGACTTTAGTGAGAGGGGAGTTGGGCAGCCCTGTGTGAATGAACCTTTCTGTTGTTGAGCCCAATGGGGGTCCCATCACCCATACAAGTTGCCCCTTTTGGTCACTGCAGTGACTTGCAACCCATTTACCATCTCTAATGTTCTTCTCAAATTTTCTCTTCCTTGCTATTCCTTCTTCTTGATTTAGAGTTTTACTACTAATTTCCCCAGGGAAGAAGAAGTAAATAAAACATTGCTAAAATTTTACGAAGTCTGATAAGTTTCAGTTCCTGATCTAGCCTATAGTTCCTCTGAGTCTCGCTGAGGTGGTAAATGGAAACCTTTTCTGGTCGCCTATTGCTGTGTAACAAACCACCCCAAATCTTAGTGCCTTAAAGCAATGACATTTATTTTGCTCATGAATTTGTGATCTGGGTAAGGCTCAGCAAAAATAGCTCTTCTCTGCTTCACTTGGTCTCTACTGGTATGGCTTGAAAGCTGGGGGCTGGAAACTCCTGGAGACTGGCTCACTCATCATTGATGTTTGCGGTCAGTTGGGCCTTAGCTGGACTATTGCCAAAACATCTTCATGTGGCCCCTACATGTAGCTTGGGCTTCCTTACACCATGGTGGCTGAGTTCCAAGGGTGACTATCCCAGGAGATAGAGTCACGTAGAAGCTGTATTGCCTTTTATGACCTAACCTCAAAAGTCATGCGGCATCATTTCCACTATATTCTATTTATTAGGAGTGAGTCACTGAGTTTTGGAATTAGACTTTACCTTTAGATGGGAGAAATGTCAAAGAATTTGGGGACATGTTTATAAACCACCATAAACTCACTGGCTTTCTGCATTCTGCCTTTATTCACTTGATAGATGGAGAGTGGGGGGCCTCACCTTTTCCCCAGCTTTAGGCTCCTCTTTGAGGATCTAAGAGGAAAGTTAGGCTTGGAGATATAGTCAAGGAAGAACAGTTATTCAGGCTCTTGAAGTAGACACACTTGGATTTGAATCTTGGCTCTGCCATTGACCAGCTCTGTGTTCTTGGAGAAGTCACTTAACTTTGGGTAAACCTCATTTTCTTCATCTGTATCCTTCTCATAGGGTTATTATAAGGACTGAGTTAATAGAGGGATATATGTAATACATACTTAGAATACTGGCTGGTACACAGTCAACACTCCATAAGTGTTAGCTATTGCTGATATGATTATTCAACACATGTTTATTAATAGTTAATTAAATCAGGCTTAGGCAGGTTCTGAGCTAGATGCTAGATGCTTTCAACCATGTGGGCAGAGAGTAGGCTTTGCGGTCAGCCAGACCTGATTCTCATTCTGAGTTTACCTGTAGTTCCTAGCTGGGGGACCTTAGATCAGTCTTTCACTTTCTCAGCTACAGTGTCCTCAGTTGAAAATGAGAATTATAATAGTACCCTACCTCCCTGGGTTCTGGTGAGGATCCACTGAGGTAATCTATGTAAAAGCCTTAGCTCAGTTCCTGGAACATAGTAGTTACTTAATAGATGTTAATCATTATATTTATTTATCAGGAAGTTGGCTAATAAAGGGATACATCATAGTCTGAGGTAGAGCTTGCTATACTAGTTGGGCAAACAACCTGCTAAGGGAGTCAGCAGAAGAGATTAACTTTGCCAGGAAGAATCTCAGAAAGGCCAGAGGAAGTGATATGGGAATTGGACTTTGAAGAATGAGTAATGTTTTTCAGGTAGGAAATGAGGAAAGAGAAGGGATTCCAGATGGAGGGAATGGCATAAAGTTACAGAGTGCGGACATGTTTGGAAGAAGGTGATAAATTCAGTGTGGAGCTTAAGATGTGTGAGACGAAGGGGATGAGGCCGGAAGGCGTTGTTCAGGGCAAAGCATTGGCTCAAGTAGAAGAAACTGCCATCGTTAAGTCAAGGGGGACTCGCAGAATGCGGAGAAAGGCCAGTGGCTGGGCTGGAGAGAGGTTTTGTAGGTGGAACAGATAAGCTGAGGGGTAGATGTTCTATGTGAGTGCAGGAGAGGGCAGTGAGGGAATCAAAAGCTAGCTGCTAAGGAGTCAGGGGAGGAGGGCAGGGTTTGAGTGGATGGAACAAAGTTATGGGATATGGAGTTCAAAAACCTGGCCCCTGCCCAGCTGATGCAGCTCAGTGGTTAAGCATCGACCTATGAACCAGGAGGTCATGGTTTGACTCCCTGTTAGGCCACATGCCCAGGTTGCAGGCTAGATCCTCAGTGTGGAGCGTGCAGGAGGCAGTGGATCAATAATTCTCTCTAATCATTGATGTTTCTATCTCCCTCTCCTTCTCCCTTCCTCCCAGAAATCAATAAAAACAACACTCCCCCCCCCCCAAAAAAAACCCCACAAACAAACCTGGCCCTGAGCCCACCTGGTATACTTCTGAGTATCTCCATGATCTGAGATTGTCATACTATTTTGGCCTTAGTTTCCTAGCCATAAAAAAATGATCTTTCCTATCTGCTACACATAATTGTGGTGATAAAGAAAAGAGGTAATGCATGTGTAAGTGCTTTGTAAGCTTTAAATAACTAAACAAATATTAGACCCCATGTTATTAGGGAGGCAGTCAATTGCCTGGGCTAGCTTAGCTAAAGCAGAGTTTTTGTGAGGTGGAAGGTGGGGAATATCTGTCCTGGGTAAAGATAAAGATAGACACAGCAATCAACACACACACCCACACACACTACAGATATATACAGCAATTTCCACACTGGGCTGGGTCTATAGGAGGGCAATGGGAAACTCTCAATTCTATCACCATTGAGCCTACCATTTGCCCTATCCTGTCTTACCTCTCACTTGGATATAAATAAGATAGTCCAATGGTTCATATCTGAAGTCTTTAGCTGAGCCTCAGGTATCTGGGGAACCATGACAATCCTATATAATAAAAGCCTAATATGCAAAGTTACCAAACGGCAGAATGACCGGTTGCTATGATGTGCACTGACCA